GAGCTACTGAGGGCAAGAATGTTAGCATCCGTCACTTCTTGATTTACTGCCAATGAATTGACCACCGTGTTATACCCATTGATGACGAAGTCAAGTCCGTTGGCAGCCGCGGCTGAGAAGCTTCTGAATTTTAAAGAGTTGGCGCCCCATTTTGCTTTCAATTTGTCCATTATTCCAACTTTTTCAAGAACGGCCGTCATTCCTTGACCCATATGCCCTCCAGTCTGGGTTGAAAGCCAGGTCTGCGCCTCCCTTAACTTATCCATCAAAGACGAATCGGCAGTGACCACTCCAGACTTCATTTTTTCCTTCATAAGCCAAACGAGATTCCGCAAAGAGTTCAGTCGTTGAACACGGTTGTGCAACTTACCGTTTTCAGGATTGGGGAGACCCTCAAAGCCAGCTTGTGTATCGGCACGGATCACTTGGAGATTTTTTATTCCCTCGCCAAATGTTATCGTGGCATCTAACGTAGCAAGTGAGCCAACAATGGCAAAATCTTTATCATCGAATTGTTGTCGGATATCAGGAGCTGAAGCTTTCATTTCCTCTAGGTATTTCGGTAGGTTAAGTTGGTAGGTCATCTCGGTTTGACGACGAAGAAGGTCAATGGCAGCATCGTCGTCCATCACGTAACCAGAGAAAATGTATTCGCTTGGAACTTCTTCTTCTTTTCCTTCACTATTGCCATTATCACTGGCAAAAGCGTTGTTGGAGTACAGCAAAAGAAAAACAATTTCTGCGACCCGCTGCAACTTCATTATCGTTGGGGGAAAAAATGCGGTTTAACCAGACAGATGGCACTAAGAAAATGGTCACTTTTTTCAGTGAGGTAATGTAAGGTAATTTACAATTAGGTAAGGATATTTTCCATTGAGGTAATATGGATCAAACTTTAAAACCGGTGAGACCCGAGATTGATCTTATGGACCTGCTGCAGCTTTTTGACGGCGTCGAGATGTCCTTTTACCTGAAATAACAGGTGAACATATCCCAAAGTTAACCCACTTGGCTGGTAACGGAACCACCCAGCCGTCGAAAATTGGAACGCTTGTTGTTACACATAGTCCGTCCAGGAAAAAAACGAATATTTGTTAGCGTCATTTAAAGTTAGGGTAAATTAAAGATATGGAGACGCTCCTTTTCCTCTGTTTGTGTGGAAAAAATCTCATTTGACTGACCAAATTAGAAGTTAAACCAAGCAGTTAAACAATACGATCATGTAAAGTTACACATGGATGCTTCGACCTTCTTTCAACTTGGCGTCATCATCGGTAAGGGGTTTTTTTGTATACCTTTTTTTATTTCTTTTTTTCTCATCATCTATAAGTTGTCGTCAAGCCGGATATCCAGTCACACAAATTTGGCCACTCACCACAGGACAATGCCAGTGAGGTTGATAAATCCCCATTTTTGCGTACCTTTTGCTTCACCATTTTACACACGATGGAACAATGAAAATAGCTTGTAGTCGGGTTTGCCTCCTGAGACATGAAAAGTTAAAATAGCCATCGCGCTGCAACAGGTCGCATTTAATAAAGCCAAAATCGTCGTTTGAAAACCTCTTTAGACTTTAGATAGACCGGATTGAGGACAAGGAACTTAAAAAACTGAGAATCCTAAACGTTTTTATGAACAGGCATTTCTCCCGAGTCGGTAGTGACCTTTATGTACCTATGTGACCTCTGAGATAAGTACCGTTAAATTTTGTATGGGAGAGGTGTTCACTTTAGGGAGAATACAGTTGTCTTCATCAAGGTTACGGAAACTTTTTCTCCTCAGTTAACTAACAAAAACGAAATGAATTGTTTTGTATAAACTGTATGATCATTCAAACGTTTGAAGATTTTTAAGGCAGCAAAAAAAAAAAAAAAAAATACAGCGACAGGAAAGTGGCAGAACTGTAGCTGGATTTAATCTTGTGACTTATCGAAAACAATTTCCAGCTTTAAAATTAAATCTCTTTTATGAGTCTTTAAAATTTCCTGTCTTTTAAGGATCATGTCAGTGTACGTTGGTAATTTTATTGCAACTAAGCTTTTCTTAAACGAAAAACCGTCCCCGTCAGACAGTTGATTCTGTCATTTTCGTGTTGAATGTTAATTGTGTAGTAATTTATCATTCGTTGTGTTTATCTTTCATTTTTTTTACGTTTCAAAAACACCGGTATAAACGTTTTTTATTTTTTTTTTTTTTTTAAACAAAGATGTCCGCATTGTTTTCCCTAAAAGCACTTAGGTTTATCAAAGGCGGATTACAATATTGCAATTTTTACTTCACTCATTACTTAGGCTCACACACAAACAACACACAAAAATTAATCTTAAAACAACGAGTTACATATAATAGATCAATATTGTTTTACCAATCAAACAGTTGCCAACGAAAAGCGCTTAGTATTAGTCATAAAAATCTGTACTTCTCGAAAAAAAGCACAGTCAATTGACATCGCAATTTACAGGCTGCACACCTAACAATAAAAAAAATAGTTTCCTGGCATCGCTGTTCGATGACCATGTTTCACCGAGAATTCTAGCAGCAGAGGTAAGGAGAACATAGCGTTGAGTGGCATACCTTGAGCAAAACAAAAAAAAAAGCTGTTTCACCGATTCAGAGTCAAGACCGCACTCGCAAATAGCCGACGCTTGACAATTTATTTTAAACAGATTTTCGATAACACAAGGAAATCCAAGTCTAAGGCGGGTGTGATCAATAGATGAACGCGTTGAAGTGGAAAAATCAAATAGCCTATTCCAAGTGAAAGAACTTTTACTGTGCCTGGATTTATTGTTGAGTTGCATCGATCCCTTTAGATGGCCTGCAATGCAGGTGTATTTTGGCGAGCGAGCGCATTTTTATCAAGTGAGCGCCAACTCGGAAGAGGCCTGGGGAGAGACGAAAAAGCGTCCACGGGGCTGAAAGAGGGGGATGAGGAGGGGAAGGATTTTCCATCCTTCCAACCTCACCCTCTCCCCACCCACTTTTCCTAAACTAATGATGGACAACATGGCGGCGAATCTACTCGATCGCGAGCTAATACCGATAACTCGTGAACACCTCTTTAGACGCAGACTACAGGTAGGTAGCACTTGAAGTCAAGGGTTTATTTATATCGCTAACAAATGAACTGAGACGTACTTACGTTTGTAAATAATCAAACAAAAGGACTTCAAATTAGAAAATGTGGGTGCTGTCTCGAGCTGTCCGTGAGTTCGAGTTCAGTTTCAAAATACCTCGTAAATAATGAACCGTGTTCAACTTAAACAAACACAGACAACACCTGCTTTCAAAATCCTCTAGCTCATGAACTGGAACACTTTGTATTTTAGGTCCTGGCAGTGAAGTCAAAAATTTGATCACGTGCAGTTGCTCTCTGTTCCATAAGATTGGACTGTCGCAATGTACATCCCTTTCCCCAGTATTAATCTATACATCTCTAGTGAAGCGCATCATGCACATAAATCGTGGTTTTTGCTCTTCTAAAGGTTTGAAAAATATTATGGGGCTGAAAGAGAGGGAGTCAGGCATGAACAGTTCGTGAGAAGAACAAGAGGGATTATAAATGACTTATTACAGGTTCGTTATGTCCAGGAGTGACTGCGAGATCCATGGAATGATTACTTGGTTTGGATAACAAAAAAATCAAACATAACATCTGAACTTTGCAGTGACTTAGAACTGCACTAACTGGTCGAGGAACTGGCCTCTGCTTTATCTTTTTCAAAACGGCAGGAAAATAGTTTAAAGCCTCGTGACGGGCGATTTGTGATGAAAGCACAGAGGGTTTTCCTCAGTAGCTGAAACATATGACTTAACCTATTACATAAACTTGAAGTTTATCGGCTCCCGTTTGTACTCGGTACACTATACTACTAACAAAGTCGACTAGCTGTTTTCATCAGACGTTTCTATATTCTGGTTTGTTCTTCATTCCTGGGACCCAAAACACACTATGAATTAAAACGACTTTCGTCTAAACTTAAATTCGAAGCCGTGTTATCTGAAATTTAATTTAGCCACCCAAATTAGGGACAAAATAGTTTCATTTTCGAGGACCGATAATGTGGACCTAAGCGGGGCTGAAATGAGTCCTTTGGTGAGCTGAAATAGCTCTCTAACCTGACAGATATTGAGGCCCAAATCGTGGTCAAATTAAATGGCCACAAGAGGCTCGATCAGACTTTATGTCGTCAGAGATATGAATTTGCATTGCACTGTTTTGGTGTGGATGTCTAACCAGTATAGCTCGTTTTTCGTCCAGCCATCGTTGCACGTGAATCAGTGCACTAAATCAAAAACCAGAAACTGCAAGGGAGCGCATACAATAAACGCTGCCAACGTAGGATCTACAAGAGATCTGATCAGCCAAAAATCAGTCTATTGTTTGTCTTCACTAAATCGGACATGTATTTCTTGATTATGCTTAAGTATTTTGTCGATTTTGGATAAATTACAAACCAAAGAGGACCAAGAATGAGGAGAGCAGTGATCTTCATTTTTAAGAGTGTGCGCAAAAGAACTAGGACCCCGGGGGATGGAGGAGGTCCTCTACCACGTTTTATACTGGGGAGCTCCGCCCCGAGGTTTCAACCCCTTACGTTTTTGTATACCATTTTGACAGAAAAGGTACCCCATTCGTATACCTTTAATTGAAAAAGGTGCCCCTTTAACATGCTTTTATAATCAGCCCGTATTATAAATAATTATAAATTGCCAAGAAAGGAAATCTTCTTGTCATTTTCATGTAGTGCTTAATGAATTAAATGATACAGCTATAAGGTGCATCTGCTAGAATTATATTTCATATTAAAGGCCATTTTAAATAACTAAATGACAGATTTTCCTTCCCTTTCATACACCTCAACCCGTGAAATTCCTGCCCTTTTATACACCTGAAACCTGAAAACATTATCCCTTTCGGGCGGGCCTCCCCGTATAGGCCATTGTAGGGAGTATCCCCCGGGAATTAGGCTCAGGAGCAAATTTATTACTTGCAAGTATTCTCAGTCAAAGAAAGTTTTTCGAATATTTATTTCAACGTCAGTTATTAGCAAATTGATATAATGTATATCTCATGGTGGCACAGCTATTGATATTGCCTCAGAAATCACCGGAGCCTGGGGCCTCAGTGGGAATTGGTCGGCAGCGATAATAAACGCCTAGAGAGCCTACCGAATAGACAGCCTGGCATGACAGACCATCTTTGCACCCACATCCATGGATACTCTAAAAATTGTGGAAAAAAATAGGAATTAAATCCGTTTTGTTGTCTTAGCAGATGGTAAATGGCTAGAGAGGGACTGCGGGAGTTAAGTGTCTTGCCCAAGAATACAAATGCAGACCAGTAACCCCTACTAGGCCTTGACTAAATTCGGCCCTCAACAATCGATAATCTAATGTACCAACTATCAGGCCAACGCGCTCCAAATCTATATTTTAACTCTTAGTTGACCTAATACAAGCTAAGGGTCATGGCCGATTTGCTAATTCTAAACTTTGATGCCTGAGACGGTTAAATACTTTCAGGGACTTTTCACAAACAGTTGGGCATCATTCTTTGTTCTACCTTTCTTTTCAACAAACTAGTGCAAAGCTCTCGATACATTAACCCTTAAACATGATGTCTCGCAATAAAATATTTTCAGCCACTTTACAAAAGTATCACTTACAACAAAGTTACAAGACTCGTCCAGTCCCCTCTTATCATGGCAGGTTCCAATATTGCTGCAACAACGCTCCTCAATAGAGTCTCCGGCACAGTCAGAGTCTACATCACAATACTGCGAGGAACAGGTAAGTAAAAAATAAACACA